AAATTGGAAAAAATTGAAAGAAGATTGCATGAGAAATTGAACCGGTGGTTTTTCTGGTTTCATCGGTTCTACCGGTTTTTACCGGTTTTACCGGTTTTTGACCAGTTTTTATCGGTTTTACCGGTTTTTGACCGGTTTTGACCGATTTTAACCTCAAACGGTTTTCTTATATGAACCGAATCGTTTTCATGACCGGGTACCGGTCCGACCGGTTCAACCGGCCGGTCCGGTCCGGTTTTAAAAACCTTGGTTAACAGAAAAGTTAAACATGGTTGTTTAATTTTATTGTTGGGCATGATTTAGATTAATAAAATGTTAAATTTAATGATTGAGATATATAAAAAAGGGGTTAGATACCAACTTTAGTCCTCACACTTTTAATTTTAATCATTTTTAGTTTACAAATTATTTTTTAGATTTTTTTATCCTTTAACTAAGAAAAATATATACTTTTTAATTTTTTTTATCAATTAGTTTATTAAATCCATCTATATATACACATATATTATAAGTTTAGAAACTAAAAATATATATATTTAGATAAACTTAATAGATTGACTAATGAAATAAAGAAAAATACATTTTTCATAATGTAGAAACAAAAAAGTGTAAAAAATAATTCAATAACTAAAAATATTCAAAACAAAAAGTTTAGGGACTTAAAATTTACATTTAACCTATAAATGGGGTTCATCTAATCTAACCTTAACTTTGCATTTATTGTTTTGTTTTTCATTAATTTATAAAAAGTACAAAAGTTCCTGTTCAAAAAAAAATTAATAAAAAGTACAAAAGTTTATTTTTAACATTCGTCGTACACGCATGTTTTTAATTAGATAATTAATAAAATTAATTTTTAAATTTTTAATAAAATTAATAAAAAAAATGTAATTAATATTTCTTTAATTTATATCTTAAAGATACATAATAGAAAAATCTTAAATAAATATAAGATTATGTATGTGAGTTCCTATTGAGATAGAGAGATTAAGTATCTGGCTTTTTAAAGGAGTAAAGGAGGACAGCCAATGGCATGGCAATGATGTTTCCACAAAGGAAACCTACAACTTAGATTACTGTGTTTGAGTTCCTATTTTATGCATATTATGGTATAGTTTATTGGACAAAACAAACTATAATTGTTCAAGTGCAAACCATTTCAAGGGATACTTTCACCCACCAATATTTACCTGTAGAGATTCCGCGCGGTATTTTTAAGGTGATAGAAAAAAAAAAAACTTACAGTTACAATTATAGATTAATATTATCAAACTAATCTTTAATGTGAAAAATTTTCGAGCTAAAGAAATGGAATGGGGCAAGTTTTCCTTTTAACCAAAGTCAATTTTAATTGCACAATAAAAAATAATTATCTTATATTTTTTATCTTACTTTACTTAGATGGTATGTACTCATGACTTCTTACTTTTAATAAAATAAATAATCATTAAATTATTTAAATGGTTAACAATTAAAATCAATTTAAACCAAAACTTGATGTATAACTTATGTGATCACTGTATAAATTTTTCATCAAAACCACTGGATTTCGAGTTCCTTTACTCTCATTTCCTTCTCCATTTACCCTCAATTCCCAAAAAAAAAAAAGGGAGAAAGGGGACCTAAACCGCGTTTGAGTTGCGCGGTAACCCAAAAGTTGAGGATCCTACTGGCTTGTTAGCACCAACGCCAATATCGTGCTTTCAACTTTAGATTTCCCTTTTCTTTTTTGAAAAATTTTTCCCATCAAACTACAAAATTAGAATTCCGAAAATTTCCCCTCCACATTCTATCTTTCTCCCTCCACAAATCTCAAAATCACTCCGCAGAAATAACTCCAATTTTTGGCCAAATTTAGCTTTCATTCAATTTTCGCTCAATTTGCCGAAGTTTTTCCGTTTGTTTTTCTTGCAGATTCTGTAGTACATTTCGAATTTTCAATTAGGAGACATTTTTCTTTATGATTCCGCCGAAGATTGGGATTTTTTTCCTGTGATTTTGCTTTGCAGATTCCGCACTACATTTCGAATTTTCAATTCGGAGGCATTCTACCGGTGGTTTGTTTCTCTTAAGAGTTCGAAATTGGAAGGAAAATTTTATTTTGTCCAGAGTTCGGCTTATGAAATATTGGGAATAATTTTGTAGTGTTTGATTGAATTGAATTGAATTGAATTGATGTAAAGAGGACTGCAGAAATTTTGCAGAATTGAATTTGGAATAAACAGATTATTAAGGATGGCAAACTCGGCGGAAACGCCGGGTTTTTTACCAGCTGAACAACCTTCAGGTTCTTCTCCGGCAGACCAATCATCGGATTCTTCACCCCCAGATAATTCTCCTCCTTCCCCGCATGATAATGGGGGTTCTTCGGATTCCTCACCAAAATCCTCTCCGTCTCCTAGTACCCCACCTCCTACAGCCTCTCCCAAAGCATCACCACCGGAAAATGTTTCACCATCTCCACCGGAAAATGTTTCACCATCACCACCACCACCTTCACCACAAAAAAACTCTCCCCCTCCCCAAGCTACTCCTCCTCCTCCTCCGCCTTCTCCTCCGCCTCCTAACAACTCTAAGGATAATACTACTCCATCCCCGCTGCCTACTCCATCCCATCCACCACCTCCTCCGAGGACCTCAAACCCACCACCACCTCCTCCTCCATTGCCCCCAGCAAATCGTACTTCTGCTCCACCTCCTTCTAAATCAAGTAATCAGTCCTCATCTCATGTACCTAGCTCCCCATATTCCCCCTCCAGCTCGAAGGGTGAACCTTCTGCCTCCACTCAAACATTACAGAAAGTCGAGGGGAAAAGTTCTTTTTATGGGGTTGTTGCTGGTGCAACAGCGGCAGGTGTCTTGATCATTGCATTTCTTGCCATATTTTTTCTGATGGTAAGGAGGAGAAAGGAAAAATCCCAAAAGAACAAGAATTCTAACCATAACGCACCACCACCCCCTAACTTCGCCGTGAAATCGGGTAATTTTATTGCTGTCTTTATGTTATTATCATTGTTTAGTAGTTAGTATCTCATGTTTAATTTCTTTCTCAAATTCTTCTCATATAGATGGATATTACTACGGAGATCAGCCTGCTATGGGACTAAATTCTGGTTATAGTCCAAAACGACAGAATTCAAACTCAGGAAACAGCTGTGGATACTATGGAGGGACACCAGACTCGGGGATTATCAGTGGTAAAATCTTTTTCAGCTATGAAGAGTTGATGGAAATAACCAACGGATTTTCTCGTCAAAATGTGTTGGGTGAGGGTGGGTTTGGCTGTGTTTACAAGGGGTGGCTGCCAGATGGGAGAGTAGTGGCTGTCAAGCAGCTCAAGGCAGGTAGTGGACAAGGGGAGAGAGAATTCAGGGCTGAGGTTGAAATTATTAGTCGTGTCCATCATCGACATTTGGTCTCGCTGGTGGGATATTGCATCTGTGAACATCAAAGACTGTTAATCTATGAGTTTGTTCCAAATCAAACTCTGGAGCATCACTTGCATGGTAAGGCAACCTCCCATTATCGCCCCTTGAAAAAAGAAGAGTAAAAAGACTTCTTGTCTGACATTAATTTTCTTATATTTAGATTTTGTGGTGCTCTAGGTAAAGGAGTTCCAGTCCTGGAATGGACCAAAAGAATGAAGATTGCCATAGGATCTGCCAAGGGCTTGGCGTATTTACATGAAGATTGTATGTATCCATTCGCGCATTTTCATTAAATCTTGTTCCATTGGCTTCTAAGAATACCTCCAACTCCCTTCCTCCCCCATTCCATCCTCTCTCGAAATTTTCGTGTCAGATTAATGCAAACATAAATGTATATATGTTATGTGTGCATGCATGGATGTTTGTTATGTTAGCTTGTAGGGATATCACTCTATTTTAAAAAGTTGTAGTTAATCTTAATTAGATTTGATTGGTTTTATGCTTGATCTTTGGTTTATTTAAAGGTCATCCAAAGATCATACACAGGGACATTAAGTCAGCAAACATTCTGCTGGATGATGCTTTTGAAGCTCAGGCAAGCGCAACTCTCTCTCTCTCTCTCTCTCTCTTGCTTGGTTAGAATGTCTTTTTGTTCCCCATTCCTCTGGTGATGTGAATTTTCTGTTTGTTAATGACTATATTAATACTTCTTTTCAAGTACAGGTTGCTGATTTTGGACTTGCTAGACTTAACGATACTCCTCACACCCATGTTTCAACCAGAGTCATGGGGACATTTGGGTAGGTTTAACTACGTGGAACCAAAATCAGCTGAGATCTGTTCCTCCATTTCACTTGCCATGTTTCATTTCAAGGGTTCTCAAAATTAGAGTTAATCCTGAACTTCAGTTGGGGAATCCATCATCTCTACCTCTGAATAGGAAAGAGAACCTGTGGTCTTTTTGGTAGTGGATTTACATCACAGAAATGTTTGGTTATGAGAGACAGTTCCAAATTTCCAATATAGACTCCAGAATACTATGAAGTTGTTCCCCTAAGACCGTCTGGATAGTCCACTTTATTACCATTTACAATAAGGATTCCTAACATACCTTCGCTGACATTTAATATGGCTTCCAGGTACCTGGCACCAGAATATGCTTCAAGTGGAAAACTGACAGATAGATCTGATGTTTTCTCATTTGGTGTTGTGCTTCTAGAGCTTCTAACTGGGCGAAAACCTGTTGATTCAACTCAGCCTTTGGGGGATGAGAGTCTAGTAGAATGGGTATGAATGAGATTGTTAACTTGTATTAAAATGCTTACTTCACTAATTCATTATATGTTCTCTGACAGAGGTCCTACTGTTCTCTGTCGAAAAGTGGGAGTCTGTGGTATGTAGACAATTTCAGACATAACAAATGAACCAAGACTAAACCTATTTTGACAATCTCTGGATCTAGTAGAATATTGCAGAATAATTGAGGAAACCTCGATTGGAAAATAGTCCTGATAATACTTTTACATACTTAGAAGATCACCTGGATTATACTATTGTTATCATATATGTTGTCCTAAGAGAACAACTTAATCTCAGATACTTTGCTCGTTTGCTACAAGTGTGTTGAGCAATAAAATCTAATTGAATTACTCGACATAATTTCTATATATATTGCTCTAGAACCATTTGTTATGCCTTCATAAGGCATCTAAAATGTCTTTTTATTTGGAAATCAAACATATTTTTCTGTTTAGATTTCCTTCTTAATTACCAATGATGGCTATCAAAATTTTTTGGTCCATGGCCTTGTTTGTTGCTGGGAATAGTGGTTCAAAATAACTCTCTGGGAAAAATCTGTCTGCAGAAAGAAAAGCATTTGCAAAGGATTTCAGGTGAAAGTTAGGTTCCTCTTTAGATATCTTTGTCAACTAGAACCTGAAGTCAAATCATGCCATACTTGATTCTTGCAATTCTAATGCTGTCGATGTTACATAGATTAGATGTGCCATTTCGTGCTGAATCATTTAGTCCTGTGATAATGATGCCTTTCACATTATTTCCTATGATATCTTCGTTTCTTGTGAACATATAATCCTTGTAATTTTGCAGGCTCGACCCCATCTCATTCATGCCCTTGAATCAGGTGATTTTGGTGAACTAATTGATCCACGACTTGAAAAGCATTATGTAGAGAGAGAAGTGTTCAGAATGATCGAGGCAGCAGCGGCATGTGTTCGTCATTCTGCTGCAAAACGACCTCGGATGGTGCAGGTAATACCATCAGATTAACCTCACCTATGATTTATATATCATCCTATTCCACTATCATTTGGTGAATTAATGCTTTGTACATACTAACGGGAGGTACAAGAATTAACCTAAGACTCGTTACATTATTTCTGTTGTCTCCCTTTCTGTTTACCTTCTTCTTCTAGGTAATAAGAGCATTGGACTTCGATGGAGAAATGTCTGATCTCTCTAACGGAGTAAAATATGGCCAGAGCACTGTTTACAATTCGGGGCAGTACAATCAAGACATTATGAAATTCAGGAGGATGGAACTTGGAAGCCAGATTAGCTCGGATTTTGATATGTATAGTGGTGAATACAGCAATACTTCCAGGGAACATGGCAAGTCTCAGAGTAGTTCAAGAGAGTTCTCCAGTAGTGACTCTGAATCTCGAGCAAGGCACGGGCCTAGCTAGCAGGGACTACACAAATAGTGGTGGCTACACTCGTCCTCTGTGATAAAGGTGGCAACTAACCCGTGCTTGGTCAATTGTTGTGCATAAAAGCTTACTCTCAATTTTAATACTTCTCCAGGATTTGCTTGGTCATGGCATGGCGGAGGCTTGTAAAATATGAGCATTCTTTTGTTTTTTTGGAGAATACATAAATTTTATTAGTATCCAAAAACTAATTACTACACTGCTTTTTAGTTGTTACACTTATTTTTTACACTTAATATTAATTTTAAATATTAATTTTATATTGCGTATGACATATTTGAATTTTCCTTTTTTAACTTTTTTGGTATAGAAAAAGCAACAAAAAGACACTCTAATGAATATGGTAATAACAACTTTACATCTTCTATGAGATATGTCTATAGTTAAAGACTTGAGTTTCAATATATTTAAAGTATGATGATGAGCAGATGGGAAAGGAACATATCTCATGTTATATAGCTCCTAATTTCTTCTCTGCTCAAAAGTTGTCTATATCAAACAATAAAATGACCTGATTCTTCTATGATAATCCTTCTCATTTCTTCCTTGGGTCATGTTGCAATTCACTAATTCCCAACACACCTTCACCATATTACATAGCATTACAACATCAGAATACTATTTATAATTACACATTGAAACTCAGAAAAATGAAAGTCTCTAGGAGAAAAAGAGGAAAGCAAAAAGTAAATCACGACTAGCAATAAACCTCCTGATTTTCTGCCCTCATCATCAACCATCATGCACCGCCTCTGAGCTCTCCTCCAGCGTCAGCAGGCTTGGTTTCACCCCTGAATTCTCCACGTTCAGGCATTCTGTGTCCTCTGAGATCTCCATTACCTGCAGGTTTGGCAATCGGTGGCATTCTCTTGTTGTCGAAGCCAAATTCAATATCTCCTTCTTTGGGACGAACGCCACGCTGGTTCTGTGACTTCTGTCCTTGTCCGTGGTGGTTCTGTGACTTCTGTCCGTGTCCGTGGTGGTTCTGTGACTTCTGTCCTTGTCCGTGGTTGTTGTTCTGTTTGGGAGGCTTTGGTTTGCTCAAACGCCCGTTGCAGAGTCGCCCAAGACAGCATGCTATGGCGGATATGACAATTATCACAGCCAACACAATAAACACCGTCCCAAACGAGCCGTTTGAGTCATGATGCGAAGGAGGAGCCTGCCCTATCACGGTGTTTGGGTCAATGAAAACTGGCTGTTGTGTTTGAGTTTGAGCTGCCGCCGACATAACTGAAATTTCCTAAACTTGGTTTAATGCAAAGTTTTTGAGCGGAGACAATGCAATTTGGGTTGTGTGTTTTGGAGTCTGCAGCTCGTTTGTTCTTTGAGTTGCAGACAAAAGGGACAAAACTCATGGAACAAGCAAGAACATAACATTTGCCTGTGAGTAGAGGCAATGTATAGGACAATTATATAGAAGTTATTTTCCATTTTCTAAACAAGTACAAATGTTTATAGAAGGGGGATTCGAACCCACGTCATAGGTGGGGAAGTGCACCTTTACCAACAGGCCTGAGTCGCCAGACGCAATGGTAGTCATTTTCAAATGAGAAAAAGCAACAAACTTTCTTTATTAAAGAGACAGCTAAAGACATTCGCTTTGTTCTTTACTGCGGAAAAAGGGACACTAGGACAATGGAACTTGCTTTGTAATAAGAGAAAGTAGGATTTTGGTTGCATTAGGATTGGCAAAATATCTTAAGTTCCCCACATTAGGTTTTTCTTTACTAGACCATCTTCTTTTCCAATCATTAGTCCTTCATGGCTATTATTATTATTATTATTATTATATTTTAAAAATAAGGTTAAATCTTCAATTTGATCCCTAAACTATTGTACGGACCCCCGATTTAGTCCATAAACTAAAAAAATCCCTGATTTGGTCATTAAATTATTGTACGGATCCTCAATTTAATCCTTACTGTTTACCAATTTACCCAAAATTGATTTTTTCGTACAACCAATTGACGTGTCTTGTTATTAACGTGATATGAGACCATTAAGTTACTATTTTTGGCTGTTAAATAATAAACACGTCAATTTTTTTTTTTTATAGAAGGACCAACTTAAGGCAAATTGATAAACACTAAAGACCAAATTGGGGTCTACACAATAGTTCAGAGATTAAATTGGGGGTTTAACTTTTTTTTAATGTATTAACCTTAAGAATTATACCCTAAACTCAAAGATTTACTTATCATTCAATCCTTAGAGTTATCATTAGTCCTTTGTTTGTTTGGTTGTACACGTTAGCAAAGAAACAAGTTAAGGTCATCTCATATCGGACTTGATGGATTAAAAAGGCAAAAACCAACATTTAGCCTCTCACCTTACAAAGTTGGTAGGTTTTAGCGCCTCACCTTATAATATGACAGTTTTAACCTTTTATTTTACAAAGTTAATAAGTTTTAGCCTCTCACTTTACAAAGTTGATAGGTTTTAACCATTTACTTTATATTATGATTTTTAGCCCCTCATCGATACGAATTAAAAAAAAATAGCCCTCACCTAATATTAAGTTATAATGTTCTGTTAATTCTGTTAGTTGATTGTTAACATTCATTAGCATTCTGTTATAAAAAATATGAAATTTAAATCCAATATTATTTGTTAGTTCTATTAACAGAATGTTAACGGATGCTAACAATCAATTAACAGAACTGACAGTCAGTTAATAGAACCAGTAGAACATTATAACCTGATGTTAAATAAGGGTTATTTTCTTCAATTTGTATAGATAAGGGGCTAAAAGTGTTATAATATAAGGTAAAAGACTAAAACTTATCAATTTTGTAAGGTGAGAGGTTAAAACCTATCAACTTTGTAAAATAATAGGTTAAAGTTTCATATTATAAAGTTAGGAGTTAAAACCCACTAATTTTATAAAGTGAAGGGCTAAAAATTGATTTTAGCCGATTAAAAAGAGATACCTCAGGGCAACCTTCCTTAATGGTAGAACATAATTCAAAAAGTGAAACTTAACACTAATTAGGTCGCGCATAAGACACTTTTTCAAAAAGCCCTTCAATTTAGTTCTAAAAAACTAATCCCGAGGATTAAATCATTAAGTCATAAAGAGACGGTTTTGGTCCAAGTCAGGGGCCTTGCAGCAATATTAGAATGAAAGAAAGAAAAAGCATTAAGTTGAACTTTGGAATTTGAGTCATGTACACATTCTGTGGCATTTTCCCATGTTCAAGTTTGGAATTTGAGTCATGTACACATTCTGTAGCATTTTCCCATGTTCAAGTTTGTCTGTTTAATGGGGTCATTTTATGCTTGATTGTCGTCTTTATTCTTTTCTTTAACAAAAGTAAGAATCCTGCCAGAATTGACTGGAATTTTTCTGTATTTTGATGATTGAAATTCAAACAACTATATAGTATGATCATAATGCAACTGTAACAGATTTGCTAGGCAATCACTTTATAGATCCCAATAAAAAGTAACAGCCTGGATTGCTGCTTTCCTTCGTTGTCCTGCTACGTTCCATGCTAAAGGAAAATTCTCTGTACTTGCAAGAACTTGAACCTTCTTGCATGCATGCCTTAATTGCATTTTACTATATGCGCAATTTAGATATAAAAAGATTCAAACTTGAGGCTTTTCAGAATTTTGATTTATCCCTTAAACTTTGAACTTATGGACCGAAGCAACTTCCAATTAAACATATAAGTTTTTTAGATACTATGATTGTGAACTCAAAACAGACTAAGAGACTAGTTAAAAAACACTCGACAAATGAATTCAACTTGTCATATATTTTGTAGCAGCAGCATTTGGAAGACATTTCATTGCAAAAGAATAATTATGTTCTCGTCTTAAACAAATATATCCTTTTTCCTTTCATCATTGTGTCAATCCTGCAAAATGAATGCCCATTACCTCTGTAAAGTGTAAATCCAGTGATTTCATCTCTTTGTAAGGCATTTCAGCTTATTTAATGAAAGTTGTCTTCGTTGTATTGTGAAGAGCTGAGCAGCTACCATTGTTGAGCTTTACTAGCAATAGGCAAATTTTGAAATCTTTAGCAGTTGATCTTTATGGCTCATCTTCATCTTTATCTAAGGAAGCTGATAAATAGCTCAAGATGAAGCCATCTAGATCTCCTTCGAGCACAGAATCAGGATCAGAGACTTCATAATTGGTCCTGAGATCCTTCACCATCCGGTAAGGCTGCATCATAGTAGCAAGAGAAAATATCTCATCTAAACTGTCAATAATGTCAGGAGAAAATAATTTATGCAGTATGGTTCTAGGGCATACATGGAGTACGTAGCTACGAATTTGATTTCCCCAACTTATTTCAGTGAGAGATTGTGTGTGCTCAGCATTCATCTGTGCCTGCCGAGCCATCTCAAGCTGATCTAATCGAGACTGGAGCACAGACATGGCTGCAGCCTTATTCTGATGTTGAGATCTGTATTCCAAATAAATTTATTAAAATAAAGCATGAAAAGTGCACAGGTTCTTAAACAATTAGCATTTAGCATTCACACCTTTCATTTTGACAAGTGGCACTTATTCCTGTAGGAATGTGAACAATTCTAACAGCACTCTCAGTCGTGTTAACATGTTGACCACCAGCTCCCCCAGCACGAAACCGCTCGATACGTAGATCAGATTCATTAATTTGTACATGCGTAGATCCATCTCCCAGGATTGGAATGACAGCAACAGCAGCAAATGAAGTGTGCCGGCGCTTTCCACTGTCAAAAGGTGAAATACGGACCAACCTATGCACTCCTATTTCTGCCTTTGCATATCCAAATGCATATTCCCCATCAACTTTGATTGTTGCCCGCTGAAAGAAAGCAATCATTTACTGTCAAAAAACAAGTCTCTTTCCAAAGGATTAGATTTCCTTTGAAAAAGGGCCAAAAAACCTGAACAACTAAAACACTGTTCAAGTAACTTGACTTTACCATCCTAGCATCTAACATTCACAAGAAGGGAAGAAAATTGGTTTCCACTACTAAAGGAATGTATTGTTGTTGGATATAGGAAAACAAGTTCAAATTCCTACTACCATGGGCTAAAGTAATAGCATAGTGTCAATCATGTTCCATGCTAAAGAAGTCCATGAAGAAGAGAATAGAAGGTTAACCTTTATTCCTGCAATCTCACCAGGCATTTCATCCACTACAGTCACTCCATATCCATGCCGTTGGGCCCAGGTTTTATACATTTGCATGACCATTGCTGCCCAGTCCATGCTCTCAGTGCCTCCAGCACCAGCTTGGACCTGTGTTATGCACCAAACATGAGCAGCAGATTTTGCTGTTAACAGAAACAGTGGCATGGCAGATAAAGAAAACACTAAATTAAGCAGCAGTTCTGTCTCTGTAGATTAGACAAAGAGGTCAATGCACTCAAAGAAATCAAAACAGTATATCAAACTCACCTCAATGTAACAAGAGCAAGAATCATTTTCCCCAGCTAACAAAGCTTCAATCTCCTTCTCTTTGGAATCTCTTCTCATGCTTACCAAAGCTTTCACAGATTCCTGCAGAATGAATTTTGTAAGTAAAAACTGACCTGCCTAGTAATTTGGAAGGCATTCATCTGTGTATTAAAATAGAGTTTTTACTAGCATCATTCTCAAATTAATTGATCGTTTCTCATGTACTTCTTTGTTTCCAAATCTTACTAAATTAATTTTGATGCATCAAACTCAGTTTTTCTATGTACTAATGCAAACTCTGATGGTAGAAACTAGAAAGGATCTCAATTTGTGTAATAAAATGTGCATCAACAACTATAGTTAACATGCCACAACCTTATGTGATATACATTGGATCACAAGAAATCAGAAAATAAACATCAATTCTTTTAAAAGATGTATGAGAAACAAGCCCTTGGTCATGAAAAACAAAGTATACATGCCTAGACAAGAAGTGAGAGCCCACCAATTCCAACTCAGAGTCATTCTCTTCCCTTGCAAGCTTTATCATTTCTATATGCTCAAGCAATTCTTGCTCAAATGCCTTCACTTCTTTCATTTTACCCATAAGTG